TGGTGCCGGGGCTGCCCGCGCCCGCCTGCCCAGACCACCGACGCGCCGGGGTGCTCTCACGGCGTGGGCGCCCCGAGGGCCTGGACCCGCTTAGGAGTGCACGGTTTCCCTCAGGGCCGTAGGCGACCCGCGGAGGAGGAGGAGGAGGGGGAGGAGGAGGAGGCGGAGGAGGAGGAGGAGGAGGAGGCGGAGGAGGAGGAGGAGGAGGGAGGAGGAGGAGGAGGAGGACGAGGAGGGAGGAGGAGAAGGAGGAGGAGGAGGAGGAGGAGGAAGACGAGGAGGACGGGTCGCATAAGCCCTTCGGAGAAACCCTCCACTTAGGAGACAGCTACTGGAAGGTCTTCGTCGGAAGGATAAGGGAGAATTATACCCCATTGGGGGGCTGCTACGCCAGATCATCACTGCACCGACCTTGCAGACGTGCTGTAGCGAATGCTTGCGTGGATTTCTGTCTATGCAAAACTCCGAAACGGCGAACGAAAAACAAAGTGAATTTCACGTGGATGTTTGTTAGTCTTCATTCCTGTCCAACACGAAATTCACTTCGAAATCCGGAACGAAATTCTCCAGGACACCCTGGGCCCAATCCTATTGTTTTCCGAGCGACATCCGCTCTGCGATGTTAGCGCCATGAAGAAGATTAGGCCGCGGATGAAGCTGGATTAAGCCAGATTCAACGGGGTTACAGTGCGGGCGCGGCCGCAAGAAACCCTCGCAAGAAACCCAGCCCTGAAACCCGCAAGCGCGAGGTGCACCTGAGGGGAGACCTGGAGCACCCTGAACGAAGTAGCTGATGCGCGCCCCCACTGTACGCCGGATTTCGGACCAGTCAGAATTATCCCAGGAGCTGCATCCGAGCAGTCAGGCTCGCCGCGTGAAAAAAAGCCACGGCGCAAGGTCGTTGGCCGTGGTTGGCCTCCAGGGGGCCATCGCTGGACCAAAGGGAGGGACAACGACTCGGGACAGAAAAGCGAGCGCTGGGTAAGGTCAGGAGGCAACTACTGGGGGGCCTGCATCGGAAAGGCTAAGGAGGATTAAGCCGCATTGGGGGGCTGTTACGCCGGAGTGGGCCTCGGATTTAGCCGGGCTAAGCCAGATTAAGCGGGGTTAAACGGAATAAAGCCAGATTAAGCGGGATTAAGCTGGCTGAAGCCGGATTTCGGACCAGGGCAAAAACAGGATTTGACCTCCCAGGGGTTGCATCCGAGGTAAGGGGTCGAGACATCCGGGAGCCGCGAACTGAAAAACCGAGGCATCGCATTGTCTGGGCCTGGGACCAGCTTTTCGCCCCGAGCCGGCTTCTGTCACCCCCCTGGCCCGATGAGGGCCCCAAGGGGCGGCCGAAAGCGGCCACAAAAGCTCCCGCCGTGATCGTGTCGCGTCCCCCCGAGCACTTTCTCGCCGGTCCTGGGGCCCATTGAAGGCCCAAGAGGCCGAAAACGCACAAGAGCCTGCCGCCGTGAGTTTTTGTCGCGATGCGAGGCGGTCTGGGCATGGTGGCTCTCGGGCCACAAAACTCGGGCTTCTGGCGGTCGTTCGGGACGATCCGGGCACCCCTCGAACGCTCTCGGCGAGACGCAGCTGCCGGAGAGCACCTGAGGCCAGAACACCTCCGAGAACCAATGAACATGTAATGGCGCAAAGCACTGACATCCGCCGACAATACTTTTTTCCACCTGCGGCCCCAGCTCGGATTTTCGTCCTGGGCCCGTTGTTGGTGGCCCTGGGGTCCGATGAACAACCTCCGAGGCCAAAATCCGAGAAAAAAACACTGGATCGGAAAATGCATATCGTCGGAAATCTAGGTCCGAGGGAAGGAGGGAGGGAGGAAGCGGGGGAGCAGAAGGAGGAGTGGGCGGAGCCGGGTGAGAGGGAGCATGAGGAGGAGGAGGAGGAGAAGGAGGAGGATAACGAGGAGGAGGAGAAGAAAGGAGAAGGGAAGAGAGGGAGTATTAGGAGGAGGAGGAGGAGGAGGAGGAAGGCCAGTCTAAACCCAAGACTCATCAACGGTGTTGTAATAAACCTTCCCTCCATGTTTCCTCTTCACAGGTCCCTATAAGGATTCGGTTGCACAGAGGGAAGTGCCCCTTTGCAAGACAACCGTCTGAAAATCTTGAACCGTGCCAAACACCAGTCCTGGGACTGCAACGCCACGAATCGTCTTGATGATCCGAAATCGCTCCAGAACACCATTCCTAGGACTTCAACTTCAATCCCTGAAACTGGTGCAAACTCTTACGACGAAAGCGCGCGGCGCTAAGTCGAGGGCCACATGTTTGAGAAGAGCCGCCCTCCATCCGTGACGCTCTTGCAAGCGTTCAGGACGACTGTGCACGACGCGAGGGCGAGAGCCACCTGGTGAAAACGACCCGCCCTCCACGCGTGCAACCGCTGCAAAATTTTTACATGAAGATACGCAGCGGCGAGAGCCAGGTGTCTTGAAAACGGCCCGCCCTCAATCCGTAAATGCTTGCGGACGTTGAAAACGAACGTGCGCGACGCTAGGGCGAGAGCCGCATTCTGAAAACCACTGGCGCTCCATCCGTGAGGATGGAGCACGAGTGGTGAGGAAGTCTCCGGCAAAACACATGGCCCGCCGCCCGCCCTACCCACTCGTCTCGGGGTGCAACAAGGAGGAGGTGTGTATCAGAGTGACAGGGCCGAACGGTCATTCACTGTCCCTGGGCGCCTGGCTGAAGTAAGGCTCTGTGGTGCAGACGGTTGTTGTTTTTGCTGCTGTTGTTGTTGATGTCGTTGTTGGTGTTGTTGTGGTTGTTGTGTTTGTTGTTGGTGGTGGTGGTGGTGGTGGCGTTGTTGATGGTATTGTCGGTGTTGGTGGTGTTGTTGTTTTGGTGATGGTGCTGTTGTTGGTGATGTTGTCATGTTGTTATTGTTGTTGGTGTTGCTGTTGTTGTTGTTGTTGATGGTGAAGCTGTTAGTGGTGCTGGTTATGTTGTTGCTGGTGCTGTTGATGTTGTCGGTGACGTTGTCGTTGTTGTTGGTTGTTGCTGCTGTTGCTGTTGGTATTGTTGCTGCTGTTGGTGTTGCTGTTGTTTGTGGTGTTGGTGTTGTTGGTGGTGGTGCTGTTATTGTTGGTGCTGTTGGTGTTGTTGTCGGTGTCGGTGTCGTTGTTGTTGTTGTCGGTTGTTGCTGTTGGTGTTGCTGTTGTTGGTGATGGTGTTGTTGGTGTTGTTGTTGTGGTGGTGTTGTTGGTGGTGTTGTTGGTGTTGTTGCTGTTGTTGCTGTTGTTGTTGCTGATGTTAGTGTCAATACTGTTGTTGTTGCTGTTGTTGCTGTTGTCGTTGTTGCTGTTGTTGTAGGTGTTATTATTGGTTGTTGTTGTCGTCCCCCGCGGCCCGACCCGCGACCCACCTGCGACCCACCCGTGACCCACCCGCGACCTGGCCCGCGACCTACCCGCGACCTGGCCCGCGACCCAACCGCGACCCAACCCGCGACCCACCCGCGACCCACCCGCGACCCAACCCGCGAACTGCCTACACTGCGTTAGTGAAAAATCTCGGCGCCTGTGGCGGGCTCTTGTACAGCTTGTAGAGATTAGATGCGCCTGCGGCGGGCCTCGCAGACTGCCGACGTGCCCGCCGCCCCCGCACTCCTATCCGCACCTGCCTGCAGGGTGCTACGCATGGAGAAAGGATGGCGGAGGAGGCGGAGGAGAGGGGGGACAGGGAGTATGAGGAGGAGGGGAGAAGGAGGAGGGGGAGGAGGGGGGGAGAGGGAGCACGATGAGGAGAAGGGGCAGCAGGAGGGGGGGAGGAGGAACGAGAGGGAGCACCAGGAAGAGGAGGAGAGGGAAGGAGCGGGACGAGGAGAGGAGGCGGAGGAAGGGGAGGAGGCGGCGGAAGCGAGGAGCCCACGAAGACATCCAGGAACCGCCGCCGTGAACCTCCCACGGCGCCGCGGAGGTCTGGCCCCTGGCCGGCCCGCCTCGCCCCTGCCGCAGCCGTCGTGGACGGACAGGCTGAGCTCGGACAGGCTCTCCGAAAGCCCGTGCGCGGACGCGCGGCGCGCCGCCGGCGCCGCGGCGGCCGGGGCGCCGCCTCTCGGCAGTGAGCGGAGGGTCCACCGAAGGGGGCCCCGAGGCCCGAGGATCGAGGATCGAGGAGCATCAGTTCGAGGATCGAGGAGCATCGGGGATCGAGGATCGAGGCGAAGATCCTCAATGGAGGATCGGGGAACATCGACAGCGCCGAGCGGCGGCGGGAGCCGACGCGGCCGCTCCGAGCGAGGAGGAGGGAGTTAGGTCATGGCAAGAGAAGGGGGAACTTCCTCGATGTTGGCCCTCAGGGGCCAAGAACATGCCCCGGAGCCACCAAAAAGGGTCCTGGGCAAAGCTACCCCAGGAGAAGGGGGCGGGACTTCTGGGGCCGCATATTGAAAAAACAGATCGGCAGATGTCAGGGGTCACCATCATCATCGTCATCATCAACAACAACAACAACAACAACATCCTCACCATCAGCATCATCATCGTCAGCATACGCATCAGCATCACCATCATCACCATCATCATCATCATCAGCATCATCATCATCATCATCATCATCATCATCATCATCATCATCATCATCATCATCATTACCACCATTTTCAGAATCAGCATCATCACCACCACAATCAGCATCAACAGCATCATCATCAGCATCTTCATCATCACCACCACCACCAGATCATTATCATCATCATCATCATCATCATCATCAGCATCGTCGTCAGCAGCAGCATCATCGGCAAAACAGAAACAAAATCGACAACAGCATCCTCAGCAGCATCATCATCAGCATCGTCATCATCATCTCATCATAATGATAATGAGATTCATCGTTATCTTTATCACCATCACAATCACCAGCAGCAGAACATCAGCATCAACCCCATCAGCATCATAATCGTCATCATCAGCATCATCATTATCATCATCAACCTCGTCTTCATCTTCATCATCAGCATCGTTATCATCGTCGTCCTCATCATCAGCACATCCACCAGTATCATCAGCAGCAGAAGCAGCAGCACCCTCATCATCATCAGCATCGTAATCGTCATCATCATCAGCATCGTCATCAGTTCGTCCTCGTCAGCAGCAACATCATCACCACCATCATCATAATTAACATATCGTCATCAGCAGCAGCAGCATCATCACCACCATCAGCATTGTCATCATCATCACCACCATCATCAGCAGCATCATCGTCATCGTCGCCATCATCAACCTCATCACCATCAGCAGCCACCATCATCATCGTCATCATCGCCATCGTCATCGTCATCGTAATCATCAGCATCATCATCATCATCATCAGCATCAATCCCATCAGCATCATCATCAGCCGCATCGTCGGTGGCATCACAATCACCATCTCATCATCTCATTATCATCATCATCATCATCATCATCATCATCATCATCATCATCATCATCATCATCATCATCATCATCATCATCACCGTCAGCATCAGCATCATCATCATCATCATCATCATCATCATCATCATGGTCACCATCATCATAAGCATCCTCGTCAGCATGATCATCATCATCAGCATCAACATCATCATCAGCAGCATCATCAGCATCTTCACCTTTATCAGCATCAGCATCATCAGCAGCAGGAGTAGCATCATCAGCATCAGGTCACCATCATCAGCAGCAGCATCATCATCATCGTGGTCATCATCATCATCATCATCTTCATCAGCATCAGCATCCTCATCATCAGCAGCAGCATCAACATCACCAGTGTCGTGACCGTCAGAATCATCGCAAGCATCATCCTCATCACCACCACGACGACCACCATCACCATCGTCGTCATCACCATCATCATCACCACTATCATCACATCACATCACCATCCTCCACCTCCATCATAAACTAAACTCCCGAGACACCCAGCGAACTCCTTAGAACCCAGAGGTGCCAAAAGTCATCTAAATCCCCTCGACCTACTTAGAATACCTTCCAGATGATTGATCTCGAGGCTTGAGGGGTCCGAGGATCAGAAGCCGGGTTTCTGCCGGTACGACCCTGGCAGCTTATGGGCCTACTCGTGGCCATGGCTGGAGCCGCCTCGAAGTCCGAGGCAGCATAAAATCGCGGCGCTTCTCTCGATGGGAGCGCGGGGGCAAGAACCCGTACCGTCCGACGTGCTGCCAAGAAAGTCCGGGCAAGAGTCGTGCGCCCGTGTTCGGCCTCTGGGGGTCGTCCTCCCGGGGCGGCCAAGAGAAGCGACTGCCCATGAGGAAAAAGTCGAGACTTGCTCCTGCCCATGAGGAAAAAGTCGAGACTTGCCTCCTCCTCCTCCTCCTCCTCCTCCTCCTCCTCCTCCCCCTCCTCCTCCTGCAAGAACTCCTCCTTCCTCGCTCCTCACTCTTCACTGCTCCTCCTCTTTCCTCTTCCTGCCCTCCTCCTCTCTCCTAATCTCCTCCTCCTTCCCCCCCAGCTCCGCCTTCCTCCTCCTCCTCTCCTCCTCCTCCTCCTTCCTCCCAGCTTCTCCTCCTCCTCCTCCTCCTCCTCCCCCTCCTCCTCCTCTTCCCAGCTCCTCCCAGCTCCTCCTGCTCCTCTTCCCAATCCTCCTAGTCCTCCTCCTCCAGGGGGCCGTATTGAAAAAGACAAGACGGCGAATGTGGAGGGCCCAAGTATGCACCAGGGAGCACAGCCCCTCATCCGTCTTGTCCGCCCTCTGCTCCAACGTCATAAGCTTCGCCTTGATCGGCGCCAAGTTCTGCTCAAATTTGGTATCAAGCAGGGCGCTCATAGACTCAAGCGTCAAAAATGCCATCGCACAAACTAATGAGTGAGATCTGTAAGGAGTATGTGAATGAGATCAAAGGTCACGATGACCACTGTACGGGTAGTCGGGTGTACGGGTAGTCGGAGTAGCCGTGCGCGGCCGTTCTGATCCTGCGTCTGATCCTTGAGCTAACTTGAACCAAAATCCTCCTTCCTCCCTTCCTCCTCCACCCTCCCTCCTCCTCCTCCCTCCCTCCTCCTCTTCCTCCACCTCCTTCTCCTCCTCCTCCTCCTCCTCCTCCTCCTCCTCCTCCTCCTCCTCCCTCCTCCTCCTCCTCCTCCCCCTTCCCCTCCCCCTAGGCCGCCGGGCGACGGCGCGGACTCCCCAGGGCGCAGTCGCTCGTCGCAGGGCGCGTCGGCGCTGGGGCCCTGCTGCGCGGCGGGGCTGTCGGTGCCGCCGCCGGCGCACTCTGCTGGCGCCTCCGCGGGTGAGCCCGCGCTGGAGCCTTCCGCGCCGCGCCGGCTGCGGCCACGCACGCGCGAGGAGGGCGCCGGCAGATTGGAGGAAGACGCGATGCACCGCTCCTGTGAGAGGAGAAAAAACTTAAAATCTAGCGAAAAAAAATGTTGTTCAATGCCCCAGCGAGTTTCCTCGATGACGGCCCTCGGGGGCCGCGCTCGGGGCCAGGGAGCCTCAAAACGTATCTGGCACGAAACACTGATCCCCAGGGAAGAGGTGGCGATCTCTGGGGCCGCGGATTGAAAAAAACAGATCGGCGGAAGTCAGGGGACGGCGTAAAAGCATGTAGACTGTCAGAGGCCCACGGGGATCTGGGGATCTGGGGGTCAGGAGGGGCAGACCTTTTGGATAGGGCGTGTGGCTCTGAGATAGGGGCGGCACTCTTCGAGGCCATGCGCCCGCCAACCCATTGCAACATTCGAATGAGAATGCGAATCAAATCTTTCTGAGGTCCACGCGGCCCTCCAAGCGGTTGTGCTTACGCCGTCTTGTCTTCTCCGAGCTCCGTCGACAGCGAGCCGCCCTCCTCGCGCACCGCCCGCAGGGGCTGCTGTGACCGGGTGCCCAGCGACGGGCCTGCAGGGAAAGAAGACGGTGGCCATGACCAAGACTGAACGCGGAAACGTCGGTGTCGATCTTGGTCACCGTCCACCTTGGTCACCGTGGGTTCGTGGCTTCTCCTCGCAACTCGGCGACGGCCGGCATGAACCATGACTACGAGACGGGGATTTGTCCGCATCCACCGCCTGGGAACCGACGTCCTGGGGACCCAGCGGGCGGTGGATCTGGATATACCCACCGCCTTCGGAGGTCCGCGAAGATCGATCCTCCACGCGGTGGTTATGCGCAAATTCTCGCCTCGAGATGACCAAGATCGGCGTCGACAGGGTGCCGCGACAGCCTGGTCATCGTCAGCGCGTTTCCTTCCCTCCGGGGCCGGAGCGGCCGTGGGGGGTCGAGCACGCGCCGGTGGGCGACGGCAGCAGGGCCCAGGAGTTCCTCCGGGCCGGCTGGCGCACGGAGGAGGCGCGCTTGGCGTACTCGAGGGTGTTGTTCGAGTCCTCGAAGTGCGTGCGGCCGGGGTGCACGTTCGCGATCATCGCGACGAGGCCATCCCCAGTCAGCGAGCTCTTCAGCATCAGGGTGAGCTTTGAGTCGCGATAGGGCGCCTTCTTTCGGGGTGTGCGTCTGTGTGTGCTCACAGCCAAGGAACGTGGTGCACAGATGGTGCGAGCCTCCATGCGCCATGAGTTACCCCGAACGCGTGCACATACTGGTCAGCGCAAGGAGGCGAAGGAGGCAGAGGAGGAAGAGGAGCGAGAAGGAGCGCCAGTGCCCAGGATTCCAGCGTCCGCTCATCATCGCCGAGCAGGCCACAAGCATGGATATGGTCGGGAGACTCTAGGCGGAGGGCAATATCGAGGAATCGTAGGGCAACTTCACTTGCGCAGATGATTTCACCACGTGAAGCTGCTGCGGAAGCGAGAGCGGGGAACCCCCCTGATGGGAGGCGACGCCCCTTACGGTAGGCGTAGAAGCTACACGACGACGCCACGACAGCGTTCTCACGTGTGAGGTCTCACGCAGGGTACGGCACTGGGAGACCGGGCCAGAGACGGAGGATGGGGTAAAGGGAGAGGAGGAGGAGGAGGAGGAGGAGGAGGAGGAGGAGGAGGAGGAGGAGGAGGAGCGAGGAGGAGGAGGGGAAGGAGGAGGAGGAGGAGGAGAAGAGGAAGGAGGAGGGGGAGGAGGAGGAGGAGGAGGAGGAGGAAAAGGTGTGGTGTGGTGTGGGGTCGGGCGGACGAAGTCCGCCTGCCGCCTCAGCGGCGAAGGAGGAGGAAAAGGAGGAGGAGGAGGAGAGGGAGGAGGAAGGGAGGAGGAGGGGCAGGGGCGCTGTGTGAAGTTCCCTCGGGGGCCTTCTTCCGTAGCGTAGGGACCTTCTCACGGCCGCGGGCGGTCAGGGCGTCGATGCAGTTCGCGAGCGCCAGCAGCGACTGGTTGATGCGCGCGCCGTCCTTCAGCGAGGCGCCGTGGTTGAGCGTCGCTTTTGCCCTCTCGGACCCCGCTAGGTCGATGAAGCAGATCCTGGAGTGCAGCTGCCGCGCCTCTCTGGATCTGCCGGCATCGGAGCGCGAGATCGGATCGCGAGATTGGAGCGGAGCATCGATCCTGGCTGCATCGGCTCGGAGCCCAAATCGAATCGAATCGGCTGCGCACAGACGCCGGATACGCAACTACGCCGGGCCAGCGTGGGGCCGCATCGGACCACCACGGAAACCGAGCTCGGAGGCACAGAATCGAGGCGGGCCCTGGCCTCCTGGCCAGCTCCACGACCGAACGACATGCGGTTCGGCTCAGGCTGCACCCTCGCCACCCGCTCGACGGTCAGGGTGAAGGCCGCGTGCGCGCGGGAGGACTGGAAGTTTGCGGCGGTGGCCTCGACGGTCCGCGCCAACATCCCAGCCTCGAGGTGCTGCAGCGCCTCTAGAATTGACTACCCACCAGACCACCCCAACCCAACCCGCAGACCCGAATTTGACCCGAACTTCGGGCTGGGGGGGGGTACGGGTTCCATGTGTTTTTGCAGCGTTCCCCGACCCGCCTCCCACTGGAAATGGAGGGCAGTTTGAAGCCTTCGGGTTGGGTTGGGGTGGTTTGGTGGGTGGTCCTCCTCCTCCTCCGCCTCCTCCGCCTCCTCCTCCGCCTCCTCCTCCTCGAAGAAGAAAAATAAAAAGAAGAAAAAGAAGAAGGAGAAAAAGAAAAACCGCTGCGCAGCTCGGCCTTCTTCGCGCGGTCTTCTTCGCGGGCCTTCTTCGCTCGGAGCTGGACCCCAGCTCCCTGCTGCGCGGAGCGCGCCGTGGGCGGCGCTGGAGGCGCCGCCAGAGGGGGGGTCCGGGCGACGATCTCCAGACATCTGCGCGGAGCTCCGACTGGTTGTTTTTTAAAATGCTTACTACTAAGATTAGTATGACAGTAATACGAATAATAATGATAATAATGATGCTAAGACTGATAATCATGAAAACAATAATGAGAATAAGAATATGAATAATAATAAGAATAAGAATAAGAATAAGAATGAGAATAAGAATAAGAATAAGAATAAAAAGAATACGAATAAGAATAATAATAAGACTACGAATCCTAACAATAAATAAAAGAAATAGCAATAATGGAAGTAGAAACGAAAAATAACAACAATAGTGTTATTACAGATACACCTACTAAACTACTAATAATACTCATAATAACAAAAACAACAACAACAACAACAACAACAACAACCACAACAACAACAATAATAATACGACTAATCAGAATAATGCCAACTACTAAAACAATGGCAATAAAAAACGCAACAATAACAACTACAACAACAACAACAACAACAACGACAACGACAACGACAACGACAACGACAACGACAACGACAACAACAACAATATTAATAATACGAATAATGGTAACAAGAATGTTGCATTTTAGTTTTTAGTTTTTTTATACACGCATACTGGTTATGATCATTCGAGCCTCGTCGGCGTTCTTCGCTTCGACCTCCCGGAGGTGCTGGACCTTCACGATGCCCCTGCGCTCGTCCTCCAGCACCTTGCACAGGCCGCCGCCCCCGTGTTCCTGCAGCAGGTCGTTGACGGACTCGTTGTAGAGCTCCAGGAACGAGACCTTCACCTGTCGGCACGAGCGAAGTGGGTACGGAAAAAATGGGGACGAGGGCCGACGATAGAGTTCCTACCCATTTGGACCAAAACTCGCTGTCGGCGTCGTCGCGGACGCAGGAGGAGGAGGAGCAGGAGGAGGAGGAGGAGGAGGAGGGGGAGGAGGGACGTCGGCTGCCCGACAGCGGCCGCTGTTGGTTTGGGACAACATTTGCTGTTGGGCATCGTACCTAGTTTCTCCGTCCCCACTTCGGGCGTGCCTGACCTGGAAGTTGCCGCCGTCGTCGGCCGCGCCCTCCAGCCGCTGGAACACGTCGCGCACGCCGCGAAAGATCACCTGCAAGGGCAAGAAGGGCAGAAGTATGAACTGTCGGAGGTCCGCGGGGATTTCTCGGATCGGCGGCGGGCCACCCTCCCTGGCGCGCGGAGCGCACCAGGGGCGGCGCGGGAGGCGCCGCCAGGGGGCCCCAACGCCGATCCAAGAAATCCGCGTGGAGCTCCGAAAGTTTTGCTTGTGCCGTTGTGCTTCTTCGAGCACCCCCTGCTGCGCCCTCGGGGCGTCCCCGAACATGGTGTAGGTCTTCCCCGCGCCCGTCGCCCCGTAGACGAAGACCGTGGCGTTCTTGCCCCCGGACACGGCCTCCTCCACAAGGGGCGCGCACGTCCAGTCGTACACCTCGGCCTGCGTGGCCAGCGGTCCGAAGACGCGGTCGAAGGACCGCTCCTGTCGCGGCGGACAAAACGGAGGAGGCAGCAAAGGGGGAGCCTGCAAATCGTGCGCATCCCGTCACCAGGAGACTTCAGTGTGTCAGCGAAAGCGGGCGGCGGAGCCCCGAAACCAGCTGCGCGCTGCAGAGGTCGTATGACCCGACCACCCTTGCCCTGGCCCCCCCGAGCCACGCGCCCGAGCCCGAGCACGCGCCCGAGCCTGAGTCCGAGCTCGCGCCCGAGCCCGAGCCCGAGCACGGGCCCGAGCCCGAGCCCGAGCCCAAGCACGAGCCCCAGCACGAGTCCGAGACCCTCTCTTCGCCCCACCCCGCTCCTCCACGCGCCCCTGCTGCGAGCGCAGGTGCTCGTTGCCGCCCGTGGCAGCCTCCTTCTTGACGGCGATCGCGTTGCTGCCCGCCACCTCGATGATGCCGTCCTCCCCAGAGGGCAGCGGTCGCACCCGCACAGCCACGCGGATGTGCCCCAGCCTGTCTGTGGCGACGGCCTCCTCGGCGTCGACCGCCAGGGCAGGCGTGCCTCGCGGGGGGCAGGAGAGGTACTGATACCGCTACACGGCAGCTCCGTGTCGTGACGACCCCGGCGTTGGTTCCTGACACCGCGGGGGTCGTTCAAACTTGAACAATCGGCCGTTTCAGAAGCACCAGATCGGTCAACAATGGGTCGATTCTGGGCCACGGGCGGCGTTCATGTTGGGACCGCCGCAAGTCGATACGACGAGAACCTGCCGCAGACGCACACGAAGAGAAGTCTTGCTGTTAGGAACCTGGTGGCACGTTTGTTGTTGGGCTTGGAGCTCCCTGGGGTGCCCCAGAACTTCCAGGGGCCCCCAGGGCCGGTGATAAGAAACCTGCGCAGGGGCACCTGCTGGCAGGCCGGTTCCTTGCTTTGATGCGCCTACTGCACCATAGAAAGACTGAAATACTGCGTAAGCATCATCTTTCGGAGGTCTGGCGGCGCCTCTGACGCCGCTCCTAGCGCGCTC